TATATATATATATATATATATATATATATATATATATCCTTTTATTCTCTTTCTTTTCTCTTTTTTGACAGATCTCATGTAGCATAGGCTGGCTTGGAATTAGAATTCAGTATGCAGCGCCAGATGACCTTAGACTCAGACCTTGGACTCAAGATCCTCCAACTGCCACCTCTTAAGTGCTGGGATTACTAACATGCACCACCATGCCCAGCTTGTTTTATTTTTAGACAAAGTTTCACAAGACTTCCTTGAACTTAAGATCCTCTTGCCTCAGTCTCCTGAATGCTGGGATTACAGGTGTGTACTATGTTTGGTATAATCTCAATTTTTAGCATTAAACATGACACTAAATCCTTGATACTGTTGATTGAGGAATGAGGGATTAGCCTCACTAAGGGCCAATCAGGGAGTTCCAGGTGCTAGAGGGATCTGAACTGAGTTCATTCAGCTGTCTCTTTGGCTCCTTCAGGGTATCTTACTGTCACAGATAATAAAACATGATTGCATTTGCCTGGCTCTGGATGTTTCTGGCAGAGGGGCCCAGGGGCCCAGACCTCTCTCTGAAGGGCTCCATAGAGGCCAACAAAGCTCTAGAGCCAGGAAGTGGGCCTCATTGCTGGAAATGTACAGCTTGTGGCCGAAGCAACCAATGAATACTAATCATGGCTGGTGAGTGTTCTGTGGGAGTCAATGAGGCCATGAAGACTTCTCCTGGGAGAGCTAGTCTTTTTTCAAAAGCAGAGGCAGGCATAGTTGCCCAGAGTTGCTATGATCTGGTAGTTGCTTGCCCCACAGAGCAGTCTTCACTTTCTGAGCAGCTTAGGCTAGAAGAACTGGAGGCTAATTATTTTTATTTTAGACAAGGTCTCATGTAGCTAAGGTTGGCCTGGAACTCTGAACTCTTGCTATAGTTGAACTTCTGATTCTCCTCCCTTGACTACCTGAGTGCTGGGGTTACAGGTGTTCTTGTGCAGACCTTATGCAGGTGTTCCTATGGCTTCACGCCTGCATGTTAAGCAAGCACTCTACTGACTGAGCTATATTCCCAGTCTCATTTTTTTTTTTTTTTAAATTCAGACAGGGTCTCATGAAGCCCAGACTGGCCTCAAATTCTCTGTGTAACCAAAGATAACCTGGAACACCTGAGAATCCCTGCCTTTGCACGTCAGGTGCTGGACTACATGCTCAGATTATAACATGCCCAGTGTTTCATTCTCAATGGACACCCCAAGGAGAACCGTCAGCTGTCCTCCCCGTCCCCGTCCCCGAGCAGACACCTTTCACAGCCGGCAGTCTGTACCAGGGTTCTCTCATTGAATTTCCGTGTGGGAGGCAAACGAGAAAGACATCCTAGCCCAGGGTGGCCAGCTTGTTATAGTAAACAGAGATATCAGGTAAGGGAGCCTTAGGAACACATGCATGGTAACTCACAGCTCAGGGCCACCACAGACCCCTCCTCTAAGGCTACTCTAGTCAGGGGAGGCAGCAAGGTCAGTGGTGAAGGGCTGCATATTGGCATCAGGGCCACACTCTGTATCTGATCTAGAGATCTGACTCAAGGCAAGGCGGGAGATCAGGCCCATGCTCCCCACGATACTCCTTTCCATAGACATGCAGGACCCTCTCCCACCTCTCCCCTGTCAGTAATGGAGACTGAACCTAGGGCCTCAGGCGGGCCAGGCATGCTCTGTCACTGAGCTACAGTCCCAGATGCCTTTTTATCACTTTTCTTTTAACAGGATACCGGGTAGCTCAGTTAGGATTCAATTTATAGTCAAAGTTGACCTTCAACATTTTTTTTTTTTTTTGAGACAGGGTTTCTCTGTTTAGCTTTGGAGCCTATCCTGGCACTTGCTCTGGAGACCAGGCTGGCCTCCAACTCACAGAGATCCACCTGCCTCTGCCTCCCAAGTGCTGGGATTAAAGGCGTGCGCCACCAAGGCCCGGCGACCTTGAACTTCTTAAATGTATTTTTAACTAAATTTTTTTTTTTTTGTGAAGATGAACTCAATTCAGCAGAAGGTGGTTGCTTACCCCTCAGTCACGCCACTATTGCATCGGTGGACACATGTTGCCTGACATTGAACTTGTGTTCTTCCTGTCTCTACCTCCACGAGTGCCAGGGTTACAGACATGAATCATCATGCCTGATTTATGAGTTGTTTGGCTTATAACCCAATGTTTCATGCATGCTAGGCAAACACTGGCAACTGAATTACACCCTCAGTCCCATGCAAAACCATCTTAACTTTCCACTGTCTCACACTGCAAATGGGGTAGAGTATCAGGAATAGAAAGGGTCTTGACTGCACAGCTGAATACTCCCAGTATGTTTCTGTCCCCAACCATTGAAATCCAAGCCAAAATTGTGGCTTCTTATCTGGTAATGTTTAAAAGTTTCAGTTCCCCATCACTTTCCTCCGATTTCTTTAGAGCCTACTGACCTCTTCCTAGCCCAAGAAGAACCCGTTGAGAGAATTCAAATTGGTTATGAGAGTTTATGCTAAGTCTCATACTAGGTAGGCTCTGCTTCCCCACTGATAAAATGGGGATGGCCAGAATCTTTGTTGAGTTGACCTATAAGACCCCCAATAGACTCAAAGGATCAGAACAAGGGCTGGGGTCAGGTGGAAAGGGTCTAGTCCCCTGCAGCCTGGGATTGCAGAGATGGGAAGACAGTGCTGTCAGGGAGTCCTTGGGGGAGGCCAGCCCCTTCATCCCTGCAGAAACTGCCAAGAAAAGGTCACCGTGATCCTGCCAGAGGCTGTGCCTTGTCCTTGGCTTGGCTGGGCCTCATTCTTCCTAGGGGTTGAGTGAAAGCCAGGGAATATGGAATTTCTTTTTCTTTTTCTTTTTCTTTCTTTCTTTCTTTCTTTCTTTCTTTCTCTTTCTTCCTTCCTTCCTTCCTTTCATGTGTGTGTGTGTGTGTGTGTGTGTGTGTGTGTGTGTGTGTGTACACATGCAGAGGACACTTGAAGAGGCTGGTTTTCTCTTTCTACCATGTGAATCCAGGCATTGAACTCAGGCCACTAGCCTGAGTGGCAAGCATCTTTACCCACTGAGCTATTTTGAGGATCCAGAGCTATTCAGTTAAGTGAGGCTGATTGATCAGAAAGCCCCAAGGATTGTTCTGTCTCAGCCTTCCCAGATCTGGGATTAGAAGCACAAGCACAGGCCATCATCTCTTACTTTCTAATGTGGGTTCTGGGGCTTGAACTCATGTCCTCATGCTTGCAAAGCAAGCACTTTATATACTTGTTATTTTCTTGGCTTTGCTAATGGCATCATTTTTTTAACTTGTAAAAGACAAATTTGAGATCAAGGAGAACGAACAATTGAAGGATAGAGAAAGGGGACAGTGGGATAGACAAAGGCAAGAAGACACCTGGAGTGCTTTGCCACTGTGTCCCCCATATATCGCAGGACTGATGCCTGCTTGCTTCTTTCTCACTGTGTTTCCCCTTCTTGAGATCCAGGAAGTCTTGAAGGGCAGAGCCTCCAAGTTCACATCATGCTGGGACACTTCCCCCTTTCAGACTAGTGGTATTTATTCCCCTGTGTAGAACAACTTTGTCATCTCCCTTCCAGCAATCACCATCCAAGATAGCTAGAGATTCTGAGAAGTGAACTGCCCCAACCCTTCCCTGGGATAAACACAGAAGTATCCATCCCTTTCCTTGAAGTTGAAGATGGAGGGTTACCGAGACCTCAAAATAGCTATCGGGAGCTCACACTTCCGTGACTACCTTCAGGGAAAGCCAGTGGAAAAAGGATGAGGTGGTGGTGTTCCTAAGGGTCTACTTCTGACTGCCACTTTCCAAGCAGCTAGCTGAGCACAGGAGTGGCAATCACAAGTCTCATGTGATAGGATGTTCATTCTACCCAGAGTCATTTTGGCCACTAGCAATTGTCACTTCTGGATCATTCTGCACCAAGAGACACCATTAAACTGCTCCCATCCAGAAGTTCAGAAGAGGAAAAGACTCTGGGGACTTGGAGGAGCCCCTGTTCTGGGGGTAGGTAAGCTAAGATTTCATCCCATTCTGACATCACTTCCAGAGAGTTTTGGCCAAGTAAGTTCTCAAAGTTTAGTGCCTGCTCTAGACTCTCTGAACTCACTCCCTTATCACACCTAAACCACGGAGCTGTGACTCTCAGTGGTACTGATGCTCATTGGTATCCTGGCCCCTGAAGCTTGCAACCCCAAGCTCCATTTTGCTGCCTTAAAGGTCTTGGTCTAAGTCTAGATTCAGCCTGGCATAGTCAGCCCCAAAGGGTGTAATGGGACTTAACTTTGAACTCGATTCTCAGCCAGAACTTCCTTCCGGATCTGGAGGCCAAGAGGTTCTCAGAGCCCACTCTTCTGCTGTTTACTGTCTAGGTGGGCCCTGGAGAACTGGAATGTGTGTGGTCAAAGCCCCTAGCTAGAAGCTGGCAAGGATGAAGGCGGGGGGGGGGGGACTTCAGCAACCACTCCAGACAGCAGCAATCAAATCATCCCCAAGCACACAGTACAGGAAGAGACACAAAGATTAAATGTTAAACCACACACAAATGCATTCAGCCAACAAAATGAGAATGAGTGAAAGTGAAGGAGGCCTGGGGACCAGGATCAGGAGGTGGAGAGGAAGAAGCAGAGGCAGGGTAGATGAGGAGGAGAGAAAGATGAACCTGCAAAGTCACCAGGGGTTAAGGACTGGGGAACAGCTAGGTGGTGGCTCATTGGGAAAAAGTGCAAATGAAAGAGAGGAAAGAGAAAATTTTAAAAACCAAACCAAATCAACCCAGAGCAAAGGAGAGAGGAGACAGAGAGAGAGAGAGACAGAGAGAGAGAGAGAGAGAGAGAGAGAGAGAGAGAGAGAGAGAGAGAGATTGAAACTAAGGAAAATGGCAGGTCTTATCTGAGATGGGAGCAAGAGAGCAAGTGCATAGCTGGGCTGGGATACCTACCTTCTCAGTGGTCAGGGATGGAGATGCAACAATTTTAAAAAAAGGAAGGTCTTTGCATAGGGAATGCAGGACAATGGTGATTCCAAATGGACCCCTGCAGAGGGGGAAACTCTGCCCTGTGGCTTCTGGGTGTCGCCTCAGTGATGGAAGGGGCCACTTGTCAGCCCATCTCTGTTAGATTCATTATTTATTTTAAAAATCTTTGACTCCAGGCTCCAATAGCCAAGTTTCCTTAATTCTCTACATACAAACTCCCCAGAGGGCATGCATGCAGCAGCTAATGAAAGCAGAAACCACAGGGTGGATAGAGAAGGTAAGGTTGCTTGGGAGAGAGACTCAAATCAGGAGAAGGGAGATGGAAAGAGAAGATAGACAGGCACAGAAAGATGGGGGGGGGGTATAGAAAGGCCAGGCAGAGAGAAAGGCTGGTTAAATGAGGCCAGTGAGGGAGGATGAAGAGGGTGGGAGGGGAGGTGCATATTTAAAAGGAAAAACAACCATAAGTTTAATTTGGAAACTGGATCTTGCCTCTCAGATAAGCCCCACGGCTTTGCTATTCA